GGTTGCTTTACAAAGAACTCGTTTCAATTGCGTTGCGTAAGACTAAGTTGGTTTTGGCTGTTCAACTCTTTGTTTGGTGATTTGATAGTTTCGAAGAAATCGTAACGGCTCATGAATAAGCGACGTTCAGAGAATTTTTTCCTTTACTGAGAATTCGCATTTTGCGTGTACTCTTGTGTTTTACTTCTATGTATGAAAGCTTTCGTAAATCCTTATAAACAATTTTTCTTCATCGCTGTGTTCTTTCCTTCAATAAATTATTCCCAGTTAGTGATTCGTACCGTTATTTTAAAGAAATTAATTACCATTTGCTCGCTGGGCACCGCTTTCCACGTTTTCTTTGTCTCCTCTAGATTTCATTAGCCTATATCCGAAAAGTAACAGTATTTTCTCCATTTTTCCATTCTGAAGGTACACATATTCTTTTACTCCTATTTTCAAGTTTCTATTCTTGTATCTGTTCCTGTTCGTGCTCACATTCCTTTTACTTTTCTACTACTATTTTTACTCCTCAAATTTAATTTTCCGAGCAAATTTTCCTCTTAACATCTCACATTTTCACTACATTGCTGCTCCCTTTTCTTCTTCTACTTTTTTCCTTATTCGTATTTTTTCCTTATTTCTGTCTTTTGCTTTTGCTGCTTCATTTCCACCCACGGTTCCATTCTCAAATTTATACTAAATTTTTACGCAGTTTTCTGGTTCTATATTCATTCTCTTCTCTCTACCAAGTGTCTACTACTATTTTTACAAATACCCCCTTTTCCACACATTTATATTTTTATTTTTATATCTTTTTTTAGATCTAATGTCTACTACTCTTTTCGCTCCATTTTCTAGCACCTTTCTAATTCTGTATCATTCCCAAACTCATATTTCTTTTCCTTACTTTCCCGAACTCTTCCTCCTAAAATCTACTACCTCTTGATTATTCACTCCAACTATTCTCTCACTTTCCCTAAACTTAATATTATACAATATATTCTCTATTCTCAGTCTTACACACATTTTTTATACGCTTTTCTTGTTCGTAATTTTATTATCTTCTTTCAACTAACTTTCTTCTTCCATTTTTACACATACTCCCTTCCGCACGTTTTTATTTTTATTTTCACACCCCTTCTAAATCTTATTTCTACTACTTTTTTAATTCCTTTTTCTACTACCTTTCTAATTTTGTTCCTATCCCTAAATTCACTCATATTTTTATACCTAACTGCATGCACTTTCCCTTACCTTCACCAACTCCTCTTCCTAAAATCTACTACCTCCCAAATCTACACTTCAACTATTCCCTCACTTATCCAAAAAATGTATTGCATCCTCAAAAATTTATTAGACAAATCCGTTCTCCTTTTGCGAAGTACTCAAATTTGATTGTCATTTAGTGGATTACTAGCCATCAGGCGTCAATTGTAGTCATTTCACAGGCCGACGAAAAAAAAAATTTGGCTCACAACAAGGAAGTGATTTACTGCATTACACTTTCGCTTTTGTTCTTTTCTTTTGCCACAGGACATGTCGTCACCAAGAAAAAGAAGCGGTGAACGTTTAAAACTCAATAAATCCCGACGAGGTAGCAGCAAAAACATACTGCTGCTTACATAAGTATCTATATACTCAAGAGATAACCAGCCGCATGGCATGTGAAGCATCCCTGAAATCCCAGCACAATGTCAGCATCAATTATGCTCAACAAATTCATTCATTCATTCTATGCTTTAATACATGCGTCCATTCAGTCATTCCATCTTTTTTTTCTTACCACATTTGATTTCTTTTTTTCTATTCTTGCTATCTATCTTTATCCTCCATTCATTTATTCATTCATTCATTTATGCATACATGACATTCATGGCGCTCACAGCATTCAGCTTCAAGGACTTAAGCTCACTTCAAGCACCACCACCACCACCACCACCTAGAGTGTCCTTTCCGGTGTGCCACGAAAACTTGCTGGTGATCTACAGCCAGCGCCCTCATTGCCGCCGTCGATGTCGTCGTTTTTTAACAAGAAGCCACTTCCTTGCTGTGACGGCTTCTACTTCTGCTGCTTTAAGCACTTTTCCGAAGCACAACGCGGTGAGTTTGTATAATTTTTCGCTGATGCTGCTCTTTTCAAGTGGCCCATTTAAGCAACCTTCCTGTGTTGCTTAGACAGCTTACATCGCTCTACTTGCTGCTCACCGGCCTTCATCTGCTTCCGCCCAGCCACCATAGCCACATTTATTTTTATCACTTCGCATTCTCCAAACATATTCTCGGTTGCTGCAGCCATCGTGGCAGACAACCGCACCTGCCACAAATGTCACACTCGTCTGTGATGGTGCGGGATTCGGACGGAAGACATTTTACAGCCCACAAGCATTTAGATTTTTACGTGCTTTTAGCGCCATTCCATTTTCATCAGCGTCAACATCATCATCATTACTTGAGGGGACACTTATCGTCTGCTTTGCGCTATCTATGTATCTCTATGTGCCACAACTTTGCAGCCTATCTGTCTGCCGGCCGTTCCACTGTTTTCCACTTTCCTGCCGTGTCTACCTAATTCAAATACAAAGCTGCGGTCTTGTGATAGATTTTTTATTTTATTTTTATTTTTTAAAGCTTACTTTCTTGCTGGCCTCTTATATTGATATGTCTACCAATTTTTCCCGCCTCCCGCTTTTCTTCTCCACGAACTATGTACGTGCGTTTCCGCCTCGGCTGGTCATGCTCGTCTGCGGCTAGTCGGCAAGCGGATGTAATGAGAGGAAGTCAAAGGCGGAAAAGCAACGACTAGCCGTTGGTTTGTTTGGCGCACTGTTGCTATTTTCATGCTTTGCTTCCAACTGCCGCTCAGGCGGTAGATCTTATAAACCCGGTGTGGCATTTCCAGCCGTTTGGAGTGACAGCAACATTGTCTATTGTATTCTGCTTTACATTGTTTAGGGGCGCACATATACATACATACATGCTCAATATGGTTCAGTTTATGAGGTCCTCAAGGGAAGCTAAGGGTGGCTGTCAACTGTGGCTACTCAATGAAGTTGAAAGCAGTGTTTATTCTTGGTAAAATAATTGAAAAATTCTTGGATATAATGGAAAAGGTGCTGCTAGCCCGCACAGGCAAGTAAGACTTCCACCTAATCATTGTTACTATTCACCAAGAAGATAAATTGGCCTGGCCCGAGGCTTAGGTCTGGGGTTCACTTCAACTACACTGTGGAGGTTACCAAACCGACACAAACAGCCTAGAGAAGAACAGGTAACTGGTCTGCTCGGATGAAAATACACTTAAAATGTAAAAATCTCATTAAAGCTGGCAGAAACTAACCAGTGACCATGCCAAACCTATTTTTCCAATTGAGAAGTTCATCTGTTTGTTTTTTAGACCCTAAAGTAGTCGAGTTCTCTCAGCTGCAGCTTGCTTCGATTGTTTCCAAAGATTGACCGCAGCTCTTTTTAATTTGTGCTTTTCAGATCCAGTTTTGTTTTATAAAAAATCAAGAATAATCCCGGCTAGATGCGAACATTTCTATAAAAGGTCACTCACCGAATCGCATTGCGGTCTAAATTAGCGACTTTTCTGATACAAGATCTTGGGTTTATGTACTTATTTTTCTTGACTTTTCGACATGCTCATGGCTTGTTATAATTGCGTTCTGTCGTTTCGGCTGTAGGACAGAATGCATCTTTCTTCTTTTTTTAATTTTAAACCACAAACCGAGCTCTATCTAACTTAGACGCCTCCAGTTTGCACTGCGAGTGTGCCTTAGGAGTGTATTGCAGCGCTAACAAAACTGTCCACTGTGCCACAGAACGTGCAACGATTTCCTAACTAGCCGGCAAACAAAAGCTCGAGACAGAAATGACGGCCAGACAAAAGGCTAATAAAAAACTTCATGTCGTTTACAAGTTAACAACCAAAGCAGCAATGCAGCAGTAAACCAACAACAACAGTGGTATACTAACTAGCATAATAGCAACAATAATACAATTTTACTGTAATAATAAATGACTAGCAGACGCAGAAATATTCACGTGCCTCCGCCACAGGGGCTACTCTGCAGGCATACAAAGAGGGCGGAGGGGCGGCGCATTTTTTTTTTTTTATTCCAATAACAACAAAAGTGGCACTATTCTTCTATGCTAATTGTAGCCGCAGACATCGGAAATGACTAACATTTCATTAATGGCAATAATTTGTGAAAATTGCAACATTGACGGCCATGGCGTGCCTCCTCGGGTTGGTGGCCACCTTTCTCTGCTGCCAGTTTGTGCTTCCCCCCTTTTCAAATGCGAATTTTTGTGCATTGCGGCATAATGACTTTCATTATTTATTGATGCGACAATAACAACAAATGAGTCGTGGTGAGGAAATAGTGAATGCAAAGAAGACTGTTTGGAAGTGGATCAAAAATGAGCTTCAAAAGATGACAAACCATTGAGTAGGCAGTGTCCACTTACTCGCCTATTCATTTGAGGAGGCATGTGGCGGGTTTTTTCTTTCGCCACTCTTTCTTTACTATTTCTTGTCTTGCCTTTTCGAGAATTCCAGCGTCGCCATTCTATAGCTTAAGAAATAATTTGCTACAAAAGCTTTGCTGGGGTCTTCATTGAGCTTTTGTATGGGTCGTTTGCTGTCTAGTCGCCTATTTATGTAGGCTTTAAATGACAATTTGTAAGCAAACATCCATTGTATGGAGCATGAAAAGCATGAAAAATAAGAAAAGCTTAAGACAGTAAACAAAGGAAATTACAGAACCAAACAACAAAAACAAAGGAGTAAATGCGGTAATTACATTAAATGGTTTATGAGCTTCAACTGGCTAGCCAATATTACAAACGAAGGGACAATGAACTAATGCGATTATGAAGATCAGATTGATTACCACTCTGCTTTTCTCTCATAGCTTTTACAATACGAACATAGACACATACAGATATTCAATATTTTTCCGCATTTTACTAACCATCAATTTTTTGTTTTTGTTTTTTTTTTGTTCTCGTTTCAGTTATCTTAAGTTTGAATGGTCTTTCCGTACGTTTAAGACGTGTCATCAACTCATCGATAACAATAACAACAAAAACAAACGTCGCATAAGACGTTTACAAAAGACCTCGCGTAAGACGTCTACAACAAAACAAGTCAAGAATTGTAAAAATACTTAAACGACAACAACTTTCATTAGTATTACAACAACTACTACTGGTATCGGTAAAAACAACAACAACAACAACAACAATCACTACTTTTAAGCAAACGTCAAACGTTGAAAGCCAACATAAACATCAATAAACAACAAACAAACAAACAAAGCAAACGCAAAAATGGCCAGTTCAAAGATTATATTGAAAGTCCTTCTCTCCCTTTGCGTTTGGTCCTTTGTCATAATTGGCCTCTTCAAAATGCATGGCACCAATCTAGTCTCGCAGGAGTACAGCGCTGTGCCACTGAGTGGCCGCATTTTGCTGCAGAAGGACATATTGCGGTATGCGGAAACCACATCGACGACAACGGATCGTTTTGATCCCTCCGAGATATTGGTGGACAATCGGACAGGTGAGTGAATGGTTTTGACTAAATTTAAAATATACAGGGTGATTTTATTAATGACCTCAAAGCTCAGATTGAATAGTTCAAGAGGTAATAATTCCGCCCATAATCCAAGAATTGATTGCACATTAATTAAATAAGTGGGAGCCTCATTTTCCAGCTCCTTAGTTCACGATATCATATCCTAATTAAGTCTCCAAAGGTTCATAGCATTGAGACCACGTCTCTAGGACAGGTGTATATAACCATTTCACTTAAGACCTCCTAAATCATCAGCAGATAATATCTCTTCAAATTTCTACGATTCCAAAAACAATATGAAAAATCTGACAAATCTTCAAATTTCTTCAATTCCAAAAAGAATATGAAAAATCAGACAATGTATAGCAAGTAAAGTTCCCCTTTCTCAGGATACCTTAGGTAGAAATCTGGACTTTTAGTTAGCAAAATATCACACGGTACAGAGAAAGTATGTATCTATGTCTTATTGCCTTGCCCGACTTCTTAGTCCATGGGTTTAGTTGCCGATTTCTATAACTTTTTCTCAACCGATCTTAGATCTACCCAGCCGTACGTGTTATGCCTGAATCCCTATCAGAAGCCCTGATCTTTCTCACAAAAGCTGAAGAGGAATACACCCTTTCCAAGGTCCTAAACACAGCCCGGCTGTCTTATCACAGTCTGAGCTGACTCCAGTGATTTCCAGTTTAAAGGATCGTTTGATCGCTCAGTATCAGTTTACTTCTGATAATTTCGGGTATCTCCAAATAGAGCACAGTTAAAGTTTTCCAATTGTCATTACTCCTTTACTTGCGAATCATTCCTCCAACGACCATCTTAAGCTGTATATAGGACCTTCTTTCCAATCTTACTTGGATTCCAAGTACTGCGTACCTGCGACAGGGTTCCTAATAGACGGTTCTTTAGCAAGAAACAGAAAAAAGTAGCACCTGCACTTGGAAATCTTCGTGGTCAATAACTCTGTTCCGAATCTAATGAGGTATGCGACCTTTCCCTCCGCCAGCATCTACTCTACGCTGAGATTAGTTAACATATGTACACCGGTTGTGAGCGAACATTTTCGACCATTACCGCAGCTTACCAAGTGAAAAATCACCTCACTTTCTTCCTTTTTCCCCTTTGACTAAGCCATTTTTATTTCTGTTTTCTTTTTTTCTTCTCTTCGCTCCCCAGCCATGGACGATGATCAGCTAGTGCGCGATGTCGAGTCACGCATCCCCTCTCTACCGATCGCCTATTGGAGCAAGAATAAAAATTTCCGTCAGCAGAAGTCCAATACATGCGCCAAATATCCGTCCATCTTCGAGCTGGAATTCAACAACATTTACTGGCAAACAATGCGCACCTCTAACGGCACCTTTCAGCTCTTTGGCGCCTACTACGACATACGTAAGACCTCGCGCATTGGGCCGACGGTGCGCATACTCGGCATGATCGATCGCATACAGCCGACAGTGAAGACCTACTGTCAATTCTGGTTCGACGGTCAGAAGGAGCCCTTCATTGTAAAGACCTTTGAATACAAATACATCTGGTACAACAAGTGGGGCAACTACAAGCAGGGCATCCATCAGCCCTACCTGATAGCTTGCCAGATACCGAAACCCTTTCACGGCGTAGTGCCCAGCTCTGTGTCGATGGTGGAGAAGGAATGCGACACGGCAACAAACAACTTGCGCGTCATCTACAATCGGCCGCCAGATGACCAGAAGAAAGGATTCGCGGTTTGCGTCAAGGGCTTAGACTTCCTTTACGACGATCTGTCTGTGCGACTGATCGAATGGATTGAGATGCTGAATATTTTAGGCGCCGACAAGATCTACTTCTACAACCTGCAAGTGCATCCGAATATCACAAAAGTGCTAAACCACTACGAGCAGGAGGGAAAAGTGCAGGTCATACCGCTGACGCTACCAGGTGGACAACCGAACGTGCCCGGCTTCCAGCATCTCTACCTCACCAAGAAGACGAATCACAAGCGCCAGAACGAAGTCATACCCTACAATGATTGCCTCTACAAGAATCTC